CAAGATTTAAAGACAAAAAAAAAAAAAAAAAAAAAAAAAAAAGAAACTTTTTTTGTTAAAGAAAATGTTACACCACTGTGAGTACAAAGGTTACTGCCTTGCAAAGAGAGCTGCTGACCTTGCTGAGGAGGTCAAGCAAGAAGGGCCACTAAAACAAAGGAGGAAGTCTTTATTTCTGAAATTCATTTTTATCCAATAAAAGTTAACCCAGAGAAGCAAGTCACTGGAGGCTGATGTTAAATGCCCCATTTAGAACAAAGAGGTAATCCTTTATTTCAGAAGGGTCAGCTCTCTTGATGCAGAATTTACCCTCTGTCCACTGCTTCACTGGTTGCTAAATTGCCACAGAATAGATTAAAAAGATAGCTTGGATCAAAGCATCTATTTTTTTTTCCTGCTATACTGCCTTTTGTATCCCTCCAATATTGTTTATTATTTATGATGAAAGCTGACATCCAGATCTTCCACTGTTTGTAAACCAGTTCAGATGCATCTGTTTCAATGGTACTATCCAGGTTTGTACAGGTTAGGAAAAAACAGGCTGTGTGTCTATGTGGAGTTGTAGCACATACATTCAAAAATTTTCTTTAAAGTCTTTTTATTCCTGAAGTCTGAAAGGCATTTGAGGAAGATATTATATGTATGAGTATCTCTGAAAGTGGCTAGAATTAAAGTAGAATTTCTTGTTATATAGAATACTTTGACAATTAAAAAAAAGGCTAAAACAAAAAATGCATATTTTAAATCCTTCTCTTAGGAAGGAATTATAAGTTTTATTTGAGTTCACATTTGGCAACTTGATTTCTCCTTTCTTGACATTTCATGAGAACTAGTAACCCAGTGGCCCATTGCATAATCATTGAGAACTTGGTAATAGACATTTTAGACCAGAAGAAAATAAGCAACCCTCTTTCTTGATAGCATGTATGTGTGTAGTCTTTAATATTTCAATTAAACTATAAGAAGATAATATAATGATAAAGTAAAAAAAAAAAAAAAAAGAATTTCCACTTTATTTTTTAAGATATTCCAGCACTTTCCCTTGCTGAAGTAATTTGAGGTTAACAAATTAGGATGATTGATTATAGGTCTGGTGCTGCTTCACTGACAGACCAGCATCAAAGATCCTGTATTAAAACTGTGTCTATAAAACATTTAATTTACTAGTACAAGAGAAATGAAATAACTGCAGAGAAAAATGCTAACACATTCAGAAATAATGACATTTCTATGGCGATAGCTTAGTGTAAATTAAGAGGGTGGATAGTTTCATTCACCCGCATTTTCAGATGTTGCCCTAACTTTCTGGGCCTTGGCTTCATTATGTATATAGTACTCTATTAAAACTATTAATCCTTTGTCTGCCTGGAAACAGGACAAATGATCACCGTTTCGAATGGGCATATTGCACCACCATCTGCCTAGTGAACTTGGATCACCGTGAGGCTGTGGCTACCTTAGCTGATTGCTTAAAAGCCAGCCTGCACATGCCTACCTGTGCTGCAGTCGCAGCTTCTTTACTTATTTTGGGTAAGGGGACGGGGGGGACACTACATACAGGAAAACTAGGTAGTACTGTATCACTACTCAAGATCATGCTTGCTAGCTTATTGTGTTTTAGCACTTCATGAAGATGGCTGCACAGAGAAGCCATAGGCAGAAGCACGTAAGTGTAAGTCTTAATAATCACAAACCATTCTTATGATCCTGTGAATTCTTACGAATTTGTATCTAAGGACAGTAGAGACTTCATGCCTAAGATCACTGGTGAGGAACAGATTAAATAATTTTGGCAAGGTGACCTGAAAAAGCGCTACTAAAATCGAAGTGGACATACCACAAGAGAAAGGCAGAATGCTATTTCTTAGGCCCATCACAGAAAATGCCTTTTGATTGCTTGCAAATGGAAGATACAGTTCCATAGAATTTCACCAGTGTTAAAATCACCCAAATGTGACGTCTGCACAAAATGAATCAGAACTAATATGTAAGTTCTTCACACAGAGAAAAGCTATCTTGTAAGTCAGAATCAAATCATACTAATGAAACATCTGACCAAAAGTGTACACTCGTATGTTTAGCAGAGATAAGAGACAAAGAACAAAGAAAGCTTGTACAAGAATAATTGATAAACGCATAGAACCAAGACATGTCTGAAATTTAAGATAAAAGAAAAAAAAGAGACAAAGATAAATAGTTTGCAGGTCAGATATTAAATCTGCAAAATCATATCACAGTATTTGATCTGTCCAAGCATACTTGCATTTCCCCAAAGTTTGTAGCAACACTCTTTTGGAAAACTACACTTTTTTTAAAAAAAGGTACTCCTACAGAAGTATCATATGGAGCAGGGAGAAATGGCATGACTGTGACCCTAACAAATGGTTTATCTCAGGAATATTAGTGCCCTAGTATTTGTGACCCAGGTAAACAACTAAGGCAAGTTTGGAGCTGACACAAGGAGGGACACTTTGTTGGAAGGAACTGAAATAAGGTAATTATTCATATAGTTCTATGTTTGTGTAAGAGAAGAGCATAAAAGTAAATGAAAAAACAGGTTCTCTATAATGATATAGACTAGGTGGGATCCTGCTTTTACTATAAAATGATTCAGTCACCTACATGTAAGTACTTCTGTTGTAATAACTATCCAAAGGCTATTTTGCAGGATGCTTATAAATATTTAGTATTGCTAAGCATCTATGTATTGCTAGTTTGCTATTACATCTAAAACATCCCAAAGTATTAGATAAAATTTCCTCATAGCACCCAGAGGAAGTATTATGAGAGTTATTCTTCAGGGTAAGTGCTCAAAAACAGAGAGAGTTGCCTGTGATCACAGAGTAATTTTGTAGGAAAGCAAGGAGTCCAAAGTGAGTCTCAGATCACTCTTTTTTGCTTAATTTGTTGCCACCAGCTATAGAAGAAGAGGCCATAATCATTTCTCAGTAATACTCCCTTAGAGCCAAAAGGAAACATCTTTAGGATTTGGACAGCATATTACATGCTTATTGCCAGATATTCTTGACGCATGAACATTTTTGAAACAAGAGAAAACAAACTGTAGCTTGTTCAGTTTGTACCAGTCCTTCTGGAGGAGGTAAGCAGCTCAAACCTAAACAATTTTCATGGGGAGGAGGATAGCTGTCCATGCATTACTGCGTTAGTTTTTCTGATCCTATATGAGACACAGAAGCCTTGTACGAAGCATATGAATCCAGTTATATTATTCTCTCCATCGTCTGCATCTTGTGATTCCGAAGGGACCAGGGTGAGCTTTCTGGGCCTCTGGCTGTACATTTTCACTCAAGCAAGTAATGCAGAGATGAAAAGTCACTAATGTCAAGAGGGTTTTGAACCCGTGGGAGGCCTCTTCACAGGAGTCAAAATGGATAGGCTGTGCTCATAGCATTTTAAGAAAACTGTGTGGGAAAGACAACATTTGGGCTCTTTCCCATACAGAGTGTGCTGCAAGTGCTGAGAGATATTTAGTTATTGATCATGTTTTTTTATCTCCAATAAGATATTCAGAAAATAGATTATTTGAGTCGTGTTTAATTTTTGCTTTCTACTACTTCTCTGATTCATCATATCTGCTCAAAGTTGTTTTTTCTTTCTTTTTGCTTCCTGCCAAAGTCACTCGAAACAGATAAATGTCAGTTTCAAGAAAGCACTAAGTGTCTAATTATTCATTTCCACCGCTTCTACAGCACTGTAGAACTGCTATCTTGGAACTGCTTCTGATTTACACATGTACACCCAAGGGGTGAATCACATTTTCTTTCAGTAAATCTCTCTGCAATCCTGAATCTGACTTTCATTATCTCTAGAAAACTAAAATACTGCAATGTACTTTTCAGCTTCCAGGAATTTCTTTTTTTTTTCTTTCTTTTTTCTTTCTTTTTTTCTTTTAGCATAAGTCTTCTGAGAATTTGAAGTATTTCTATATTCCTTTTAGAGTTTTAGGTAACAGTTAATTCCGTACGTACTGTAAAAAAAAAAAAAAAAAGAATTGTGTTTACTGGAAACCTTTAATTAGCAAAATAAACAAGCACGTTCAATGCAAGTTCATCTGTGTCAGCAATTTGGGAGAACTTAGTCCCTTAACTTGCTGGATGAAGAGTGCTGCGGAAGAAATACATTAATGATTTTCATCAGCATAGGATTTCTCTTGAGTTTGTGCATGCTTGTTACAAAGATATTTTCTTTGTAAATGTATTGATTGCAAAATGATTCTTCTATGTTTAAGCACTCAAGTTGAGAGGTTCTGTCTGATGAATGAAATACTCCTCTGGTCTTTGTTCTGAGAAGTAACCAAATAGCACCAAGGGCACCAGATTTTGAGCCTGAACCTTGAAAGACTGTGCAGTTTGAGGAGAGAATGAAAGAGAAGGGTTAATCCTCCCTAAGTTTCAACCAAAAGGATAGTATTTTGCAAAAATATATCTTTTTCTATTTTTTTCCTGTAGCAAGTGAAAATTAAAGCCTTTTAACCTTTCTGAGGCTGAGGAATGCTGGATGCTTGCATCGCTTCTTCTCTGGATGTTAAACTACTTAGGTACATACATTGTATTGGGAGCTGGTAAAACAGACTTTTCTCTTAGGCTGTCTAATACAACTGTTGATCACGGTGTGCTGGAAAGATTTGGTTTTGGTGTAAATTGCACCAAATGAAATACAGGTGTGCAGGACAAGAGCAAAATTTAAATAAATATAGGAAATTTGCCTTTTTTCACATATCTTTCCGATATTTTATTTCTACATGTTTATGTGTACATTTGGGAATGTTTTGCTAGAAACACATGTTTTTTTCTGTTCTGGTAACTGTCTCACAATAAAGGAAAATGGCTCCTTACATTATGTTTGGTTTTTGTATCTTACTTTTTCCCCTAAGAGAAAGGGGAAACTGCCGTTCATAGATACATCCTGTGATGCAGCTGAAAGTTTTATGATGAACAGATAAATCAATTTTTCGCTTTTTCCCCCCTACTTTTAACCAGGTAGACAAGAAAATTGTCCGCACAGAAATAGGAGTGCTGCTTCGCCTTTCACATCCAAACATTGTAAGTTTAGCTATGTTCCATTCTTGTGTTCTTTTTAAAAATACCTTCTGTTCCTAAGAGCTCCATATTGACTGCTGTAGTTTACATATACAGGCTTATGAGAACCTTCAGCTAAAGTTTAATATTTTCCTCATAGGCACATTAGAGCCTTTTTATGCAAGACTGTAAAATCATTCTTATTCTTTAAAACAAACTGTTGATGTTCTGGCTGAATAAAATGAAAAACTGTGCAAAACAAATTCTGTAAATGGAGGAGGATATGGTGTTGTCAGCCTGTGGAGGATGGGGAAGGTTTTACATTCAGCTTGCTCTGAAACATTGTCAGACAGGTGTTGACAGGCACTAAAGAAAGCAGTTTCTAAACTTCATGTGTTACAGAGAGTTTGCTGAGGTAGGAAGAGTATGACAGCAACAGAAAGAGAATGCAGAATAGACAAAATCAGTAAAAGAAAAAAATGTTTTCAATAAATTGCTAAACTGAAAGCCAGTAACACACCAGTTTCAGTTGGTCACATCTTTTGCTTTACTTGATGTAGTCTGTTTCCTTCAATAGGTCCTGTGGTATCAGTGCTCAGCAATTGCATAGATGAATCATTTTGGTTTTCTTTTTTTTTTTTTTTTCCAGATAAAACTGAAGGAGATATTTGAGACCCCTACAGAAATCAGTCTTGTTCTGGAACTGGTCACAGGTGGCGAGCTGTTTGACAGGTGAGTGGCCTGTATGCACCTCGTTTTGCGCAGTGCACAAGGCTTCTCCTTTGCACACAGTCCCTATGTTACTAATTACTGGTGTTATTTCATCAACATACGGTTTATTCACATGCATAAATAGCTGCAGGAGTTGGCTTCAAATTCGTGTTGGGAAATGTTAGAATTAGGAGGACTTTTCTAAGGACAAAATGAGTTGAAAATGGAGGAAACTATTAGCAAATTTGAAAAAGCTTGTACTGTTAAAGGAAAGTGGGTGGTGTCAGAGTGTGCTGGACCAGGCAAAAAGAGGGAAAAACGGGCAAAATTACACTGGCAAGTCAGCATGTAAAATGTGGGAAGTGGCAATCAGCCAGCCAGGAGAGCAGCACTACATCAGATTAAAAGGATGGTAAGCAGGAGTGACAAAAAAAGAAAGACTGTTTGGCATTAATTGTATTCATAACAATTCTGCTTTTGTTAGAAGCATTTTGCAAGATAGGTATTATGTTCTGAAAGTAATTTGCTCCTAAAGCTGCACATTCTTGTAGTGTAGATGCATATGTATAAAATGAAAAGAAGGTAATATTGTTGGGGACAGTATTTTAATGTTAGGCATTTGTTCTCTTAAAACAAGTGAAAATATATACATTTATATTTATATATAAAAGCATTTAATACTGGCTTGGGTAAGCCAGTTAATTCAGTGAAGCAATCTAAGGAAGCTGTAGTGCTTTCCAAATCGTTCAAGGATGAGTTATTTAATCTTCCTTCTTCTATAATTAAATTTTAGTATTGCAGTGGATTGTTACATAAACATGCATTGAAGAAATGGTCTGAAAGGCTCTTTGAGAAAACAAAAACGTACCTTTCTTTGTATTATGCTCATAGCTACAACCTTGAAATGAGCTATTTCCGAAATGTACCAAGTAACTCCTTCTGTAACATCTTTAATTCCAACTGAAGTAAGGTGCCTGCTAATGCAATATACAGTAGAAAGAGAAGAGATGTGCTGCAAGCAAAACAACAAGTTCCCCGTCCTCAGCTAGAAAGGACTCTTTGCAAGATGTCTTACTTTTACATAGCCCTCAGTATATGCACATGGTTTCAGATAAACTGTTTTTCAGGAAAGCTGGGTACTGCACAAGAGTCTCTGATGGGAAGTGTTTGTCAATGAAAAATAAAAAATATGCCAGTAAAAGGACTGCTTTCTGAGCACGGACCATATGTTTGGTAGAAGAGCTAGAAATGGAACCTTGCACGTGATCCAGGACGGGGAATTGTGTTACTATATGGAGCTTGGATTTAGCATTATGACATTTTCAACATTCTGTAATCTTCTGCTTGGGCTGAGATTATAGGATTTGAGTCCTTGGGATTTATCAGTCCCCAAAATTGTGCGTATAATCCATGAGTTTAGCTGTTAAAAACCTCAGGATGTGCCTAGAACAGAAGCAAAGCTGTTCTGTCACTTCTCAGAATTGCGGTGCCCCCTTGTGATGCTAAGAACAAGAACTAATATCATCAGTGAACTCCTCTGAATTAAGCACACTCCATACAAGAGAACTGAAAATTTTGGCAATACATCCCTATCTGATTTGTGATTTGGAAAAATTTTAAAAAAGTATCTTTAGCTGCTAAAGACAGCAATAGAGAAATAACTTCACTCTTCAACTTTAGTCTGAAAATAATTTAATAGAACTATGCAGTCTGGATTTTTTGCACTAAAAGCATGAATTAAATGTTAGCTGTCCCTTTCTTTCAGTGAGGCTGAAGGATTAATGCTGTCACTGTGCTGAACAGTGACTGCCTTCTGAGTTTTAGTGAGGGATTATTCAGCCTTTCTTCCATAAGGCAAGTTTCCTCTCTCACATCTTGTCTTTTCATTTTATATGTCTTTCTCTCATGCCTGAGAGAAATGTTCTAGTTTTCCAAGAGCCCTTGCATGTTCTCTCCTCTTTGTTTGTGGGTCTACCAAGGGTTTTAAGAAAGCAGCAAAGTAAACTCTGTACCTTGAAGGAGTTACTCTCCTGCCTCTTCCAAATTAGCTGTCAGCAAATGGCAACAGTGGACCTGTTGCACAAATGCATCTGGTTTCCTTACTGTAATATGCAGCTACTTTCTACATCAACTATTTTACTGCTCTTTCTGCCATTCAAGATTTCCATTCTTTTTTTGCATAGTATTTGATTTGCTGATGAGGATCTTGCTTCCCCTTATTGTGAAGATGACTTTATAAATGCCTTTATGAATGGCTTTATAAAGATCTGATTAGTTTTCTAGAATCATATTAGTGTTATTTATGCAAAGCTAGTTTCATGCCCGTCTAACATAGAAGTTCTGGGTAATAAAGTTATTCACTTCCTTCACCATATTTAATATTTCCATGAAATCATCTATGTTATGTTTAAAATGAGTCTTCATTGTGACAGTTTTTCAACTGTGTTATCTGAAAGGAGATATTTCCAACCAAAACCAGCCATTTCACATCTCAATTAATGGAGCTGAAATAAGACTGGTTTTCTAAAGATTATTTTTCTAAGGGAAATCTGTCTTGCATACCTTATAAATCCCATTCTAGGTCCTAATCTAGTGCAAAATTCCACTGTCCCAAACATAACAAATTTAAGTCTACCCCCAATTTGAAAGGTTTTATAAAACAGAATGTTTGTGCAATGACTTTTGTTATCTTAGTAAGTGCGCAATAACAAAAGACTTTTGAGGACAAATCTGTATACGAAATGAATACAAAGCTTAGAGAAAGGTATGCTAGCTCTGAATGAACTGAGGCTTCAGCTGTTTCCTAATACCTTCTCCCAAGTCCTGTGTTTTAGGACTTTGATGTTTATTTGGCCCTCCTCTTTCAGTCATGCATGCTGTAAGTGCATTTAAAAGAGAGGTATTTCGACAGGGCACTGAGGGACAACTCTCCTGTTCTGCTGAGTGACCCAGCTGCAGTGTGTTAAGCAGCATATGGCAGTGTTTCACACCCTGCCAAAATACTGAGGGCAGGCTGCTGTCACACATCCTTGCTGGGGCAAGTCCTTACTGAAAAGGCTAAAGCATAACAAAAATAGCATATCAGCTCAAGTACATGGTAGAATGATCACGGATAGTTTTACTCTGCTTTCTCTGTGTACCAGCATGGTCCTTGAAGGACTTTCAAGAAGCAGTTTAAATGAAAGGAAATCTAAAGCTGCTACAATCTCTACTAAAGGTTGTTTGAAGTATCCTTGCGGATAGGAAATTGCAGGACTGGAGAAAAAGACACAACCAAAGGCCACTTTTCACCTCACTTTCACATCTTCCCTATCAAGTTGTTGTCATAACCAGGCATGCCATGCAGCCAGAGTTCAGAACATAGCCATTATGTTTTTGTTGTTGTTATGAGAACCTTGAGAGAGAGGGAGGGAGGGAGGGAGGGAGGAAGGAAGGAAGGAAGGAAGGAAGGAAGGAAGGAAGGAAGGGGAGGGAGAGAGAATAGAGGTGTTCTATTTGTTTTTTGGATGACTTCATATTATGAATTGATTTGAAATCATAAAGTAATAAAAAATAATGTGGGTAGTTTTAAAAGGCAGATTTATAATCTGCTCCTAATTTCACCTCCTCTCTGTGTAAGAGGAGAAAGCTAAAGGCAGAGTTGACTCCATTAACTCTCAGATGTCACTGAATTATCTGAATTTCAGCTCAATTAAGTGGAATCAGACATTTTAATATGAGTCAAAAATCACAGTGGAAAAAAGCTTAAATTCAATGACTTTAAGGGAATGCAGAATGATTATGTGGCTCAAAAACTTCTGGGGAAAAACTGCCCCTGAAGTTATTTATCATTTCTATAAGTAAATGTCTGTCAAAATAGTTGCTTTTTAAAGTATTTTTGTTGCTAATCAGTAAATTTTAGACTGTTCAAAAGTCTGATTAGATAAGTACCGAGTAGCCTCTTCTCATTTTATTTTATTAAGCCTTTTGATTATTATTATGACTTATTTTTTCCCTGTAGTTCTTCCATTTTGGAGTAATGATTTCTTTTATGATGATTTCAGTTACATTTTTTCTTGTCTGTTCCCTTTGCCCTTCTGTGCCTTCATGGTTCTTTTCCTAAATATAATTTCTTGATACTCTTAATTTTGCCTGTCTTTTGCATCATATGGCATATTTCATAAGTTTTTTTTTTTTTTTTATCATTTTATTGATCTTTTGGCTTTGCTCCAAACAATTAACTTACTTAGTATCACTAACAGGTACAGGTCTTGCTGCACAAATGAAATCTGATTTCTGTCTTTTATTACCTTTCTTCTTTTTGAAAATGGTCTTTTTTTTTTGTTCAGATTTTATTGATATTTATTGCATTTTGATTGAATCTTTGATATATCCCTTTTTGAAATACTAATATCAGGGAGGAAACAAAGAAAGCCTCACCTCTATTTTAACTTCATTTTGCTCACAATGCCTGAAGATTAATGAGAATATTTTCCATGAATTTCTTTTTTCTTCAGCTTGAAACTATTATGGCAGTCATATATTCTCCCTGGCTGAACTTTGTTGCCTTGAACACAGACTTGCTTCCTCATTTGCCTGTTGATTAAGTACCATGAACACCATCTAAAAATATTGCTACTGACCTATTCTTGACTAACTTCTGTTTCAAATTTCTTACCATTTCCTCTGAGACATATGTTTAATCTGATACTCTTTCAAGAATTTCCTGAAACCTCCAGGCATACTGCGGAGAGATACCAAAAATAATAATGGAATTCAGCAGTAACTGAAATGTGCGCTTTTTAGCAAAGTGGTAGCAGAGAGGATCATCTCCATCATTTTGAACATATGTCTTATTCTGTGGTGGCATTTTGTCTCTTGAACGTGAATTAGAAGAGTCTTTGGACTCTCTTTTTCATAGGAGCAAGACACAATCCTACCTCTGGACTTGGAAAAAGGAGCTCTGACTTGACTCTGTTTTTTGAGTAACGGAAGACAAACTTAACACATAAAATATCTCTGATAAAAGTTCCACTTGATGT